CTCAGGGTAAATTTAAGGAAATGTCGAAGAGTTTCTCAACCTATGCTATGTGCTGGTCACTCGAAGCCAAATACATTCTCCTAAGAAGTAGATTGAGCATCTACACGGAGGTTGGATAGTAGTCCGTCGAATCGAGCAACACCTAACACAAGGGATTTTCCCATTTCTTTCTTCAGCGACTGTTGGCGACAGTAGAGACAACTAGCTAACAATTGCCTTGCGCTCTGAGGGAAACGAAACTTCCACAATACTCCCAGTTCCACCATCCATCCACCCCACCCTATTTCTCACCAACGGGTGAAACGAGGAGGAGAGAAGTTCGAGGGCCAACTGCTCGAAATCGAAAAAGCTGGCGGCCTATAAATGTCAATGTGGGCTTACAGGGACTACAACCCTGAGACTCTGTTCTTGTTTACAAGTTTGCTTATATTGTATCAAAACAATACCGTGGAGCAATGAAGTACCGTGGATTTCCTCCCGAGATATGAAGCTATTAGCGAGGTATAACTCCAACTTTATTTACATAGTAGCAAGTAGTGACTATTGTGGTGTATTCTACGGACCTGGTATCCACATTGTATGTGAAATTGTATAGCACCGCTCCAGTAATCAGCGATTGAGTTGATGTGTGAAGGCCGTATCGATTAAACGTGTATAGCTGAAAAATTGATAGGTATTACTACCACTAATCAATACCCAGAGTATCCGGAAAGAAGGAGCCGGTATCAGACAAAGTGATAGTCTCGCACTGACCTCATTTCGATCCACGTCAACGACGCTGTACTGCCGAGCAATGGAATCGTATTGTGCGGTACGGGGCGTTATTCTCTTTACCTTCGCGTTCACGGCGTCGGCGACGTAAACGCGACCGAGGGCGTCGACACTGACTGCTGAAGGAGAGCTGAAGAGCGCCATTTTCACTGAGATGACAGACGTTGGTGATGCTGCGTCGTCACAGCCGCAAGCCACCACATCACATGCGCATGCCGTTTTCCGACCAGCAATTACCGGAAAACTCGTCCGATCGGCAGACAGACGACGTACCTTAAAAATTAGGTCCTGAGTGTAATCCACATTCTTCAGAGACATAAAATTCACCTGGTTCATCTTTTTCCCATCCGATTCGATAATATACAGGGACCCATCGGTGGCTGCGGCAATGTCGCGTGCATTTCGCACAATGTGTCGGGAAGAAGCATTTTGACACGTTGTCAATGCACCAACGACTATTTCAGCTGCATCCTGAGCTCGATCGAGTTGATAGACGATATTCGAGTCCAGCACAAAGATTTGACCAGTAAGTAGATGCACCGACAAGGACGTAGGCCACTCGAGCTACAAACAAACAAATTAACTCGGGTGCATTTCTTCCACCTTGACAAAAGTATAAAAGTCTAAAGGACAGTCTTGGGGCTCAGATCCATCCCGTCTGAGGGAGGCGATCACGCGTTCGACTTCCATTAATCGTAATGGCGTAATGAATGCGTATGTGGTTTATATTATACAATGACTTGCGGTGGCCAACCGATGTACAAGTCGGTGCTTGCACCCTCCCAGACAAGTATGGTACCAATTAACCGACGTCGGCGGGATTGAAGGCTTGGTTGGCCTGGGTGGATATCGATTCAGGATTTGAACCCGTGACCATGCCACTACGCCACCTACGCCTGTCACTTTGTTAATTACGTTTCTTTATGTTAGAAGTGAAGCGCGCACTTCAAATGCAACTGTATGGCTCCAGAATGCGGCCACTCCAAAAATCTGAGAAACGGCTTCAAAATGTTTCAAAAAAGGAACCCAGTCACAACCTAGCCACAAACAAACAAATTAATCAATTGTTAAGAAGGAAACCCGCCCTTAACTTGCATTCATATGTGCTTCTGGGTAAGCTGACATTGTACGAGTACAAAAAATTGGTTCAAAAAAAGGAGCGAGAATGGTACTATCCAAGTAACCCCTACATCCCCATTGACAAGCCGTATTCAGAAGCTATCCACAATTTCCCAACAAACTAACTGTTTCCGAAAGTAATTCTTTCCATAGAAAACCTGTACGGACCTTGTCTTGAGCAACAGTGACCCCTCAATGTTTCGTTTGACTCACCAACGTTTCCGACGTTTGCCGCTTGTGCCTGGCTGTCTCAATGCTATGGCTCGGTGATGGGGGAGTCAGGCGATCCGCCCGAAGCGGATGATAAAAATCGTGCAACGACAGCGACGGCGGTACCGCATGCCGTCCCATCAGCACCATCTGGGCCCCAGGGCCGACGGTGACGTTAAACGCAATGCGTCCAGCTCGAGTGATGAACAACTCGCTGTAAAATTGAAAACTAATACGCAATATTTTCATTAAGCATAAAGATTCCTGTTTCACTATGTCCGTTGATCGGGAAAATCGCGCCCAATGTGGCGATTAGCTTAGGAAAAATGGGCGATTGAAACTGCAAGAAACGCATCCAATCAGTGCATCCGCCCAATTCTTTCTGGTCACTTGTCTCACTTCCGACGCGAACGAATGTGACCAAATGTCGGCTACAAACCCGTTGATTCAAAGAAAAGCTTAGATTGCTGTGCGAATAACTCTTCAGAGGGTCTGTCAAAAACTCTTCTAGTCACATGAAACCCAACTGAGCTTCAGGAGCGGCACAGAAATTGAAAACACGGATCCTCTCATTCAGGCAGATGCCTAAGGGATCTGTCCTTATCTTAGAATGCCTCCTAGATTACACATTCCATTCAAACAACAAAATAGCTTCAATTTGAAAGCACAGCCCACATCAGGAGGTGTGAGACCACGATAGACACCAGAAGGGTTCTTCTTCTTTCACAACTGGGTACGTACTAACTGAATTCTTTTCTCCCCGAATGTATTCCTTGGTCTTCCGCCGAGGAACTTAATACACGGCTTCGTGAACAAAACTTTGAATGAATCTCATTTGCAATTCTATGCGTCTAAAAGGAAACAAACATCCTTTCTCACCGTGGTACACAATTAACAATGCCGCCACTACAGATCACCACCAAGACG